TGTCCTGGAACTCACTATGTAGACCAGGCTGGCCTTGAACTCACAGAGTCAAATATATTTTAAGGTAATTAAAGATACAGTCACATCTAACAGTTCAATTTTTTTTTTTATTTTATTTATTTTTATTTTAGTGTATGCGTATATTGCCTGCATGTAGGTAAGTGCACCTGTGTCGTGCAATACCTGCACTGGTCAGAAGAGGCTGTCAGATCCCCTGGGACTGGAGTTACGGACATTTGTTAGCTGCCATGTGAGTGCTGGAATTCAAAAACCCGGGTCTTCTGCAAGAATAACCAGTGTTCTTAACCACTGAGCCATCTCTCCAGCCCCTGAGAATACATTTTTTATAACAATAAAATTGGGCATAGACTGAGAAATGGCTGAGTGGTTAGAAATACATAATGTGGGCCAGGCGTGGTAGTCCACGCCTTTAATCCCAGCACTTGGGAGGCAGAGGCAGGCGGATCTCTGTGAGTTCGAGGCCAGCCTGGTCTACATAGCGAGTTCAAGGTCAGCTGGGGCTACAGGGAGACCCTGTCTCAAAAAGACAAAAAAAAAGAATACGTAATGTGGGCTGGAGAGATGGCTCAGCGGTTAGGAGCACTGACTGCTCTTGCAGAGGACCCGGGTTTGATTCCCAGCACCCATATGGTGGCTACAGACCATCCTTAAGTCCAGTTCCAGGGGAATCCGAAGCCCTCTTCTGACCTCCACGGCATTGCACGACACGGGTGAACTCATATACATACAGGCAATACACTCATACACATAAAATAAAAAATAAAATAATAAATACATAATGTTCTTCCAGAAGACCCAAGTTCATTTCCCAGCACCCATACCAAGCAACTTATAACCATCTCCAACTCCAGCTCCAAGGGACCTCACCCTCTTCTCTGGGCCTCGATACACATGTGATACAAACACATATACATATAAATAAAAAATCAATCCTTAAAAAAAGGGGGGGATGGGAGTACACACCTATAATTAATCCTGGCATGCTAGAGGTTGAGGCAAGAGGACTGCCATGAGTTCAAGATGAGCCTGCGCTATATAGCAAAACTCTATCTCAAAAACCAAAAAGAAAAAGAGGAGTAGGGATATAGCGTAGAGAATTTGTCTAACATGCCTGAGGCCTTAGGTTCAATCCCCAGAACCAATCAAAATCAAAACAAATAAAATAACCAAAAGAGGGATGGGGATACAGTTCAATGGTAGAGTGCCTGCATAGTACCTACATGGTAGGAAAGGTCCCAAGTTTCATCCTCTGAATCTCAAAAAAAATAAATAAATAAAAGACTGTCGGATCCCCTGGAACTGGAGTTATAGACAGCTGTTAGCTGCCATGTGGGTGCTGGGATTCAAACCCGGTCTTCTGCAAGAACAGTGTTCTTAACCGTTGAGCCATCTCTCCAGCCCCAACTTCAGACTCCTTATGGTCTCCTGGCAGCCTCTAGGCCCTGAGGAGACATGCCTAGCATTTATCCAGGCATAGCTACCACAGATCAAGGTCTAAGTAGCTTCCAAGGTGAGAAGATACACGGACTATTTTTTGTAACTTTTCTCCCAGCCCCAAATAAAGCAGAACAAAACCATTTTTTGAAGTTCTATAAGCACAATGTGAAATAATTTACCTTCTTTCTTTTCTTCTTTCATCCATCCTTTTATCCAAAGCTGCATAAATAGCATCTGCTTCCTCATCATCTTTTTCATAGGGCCCACTTGAGAAGAGGCTCCCAGCATAGCCATTAAACTAAGAACCAAACAGCACATTAAAAGGGTTAGCTTTTCCACCAACACAAAAAACATGGTCAGTTATAAATTATTTGCTAATTATGTTGTTCATAAGAAAAACCCAAATGAGGGTCAGTCTGTAGCAACTGGTCAATACAAACACCACGAACATAAAAGAGGGGAGTTATCCCAGTTGGAAGAAACTAGGCACCCTAGTCAACTTCTGTTGCTGTGATAAAATACCCAAACCAAAAAGCAACTTAGGGAGGAAAAGGTTTATCTGACTTAGAATTCTAGGTTACAGTCCTTCAATGCAGGGAAGTCAGAGAAACAGATGCTGGAGACAGCTGGCCACATCACATCCACAGTCAAAACCAGAGAATAAATGCATCCTTGCTTGTTTGCTTTTGCCTATGCTAAGCTCATTTTCTTCACTCTTACAAATAAAATATAAAAAAATATTGTTTAGGGCTGGAGAGATGGCACAGCGGTTAAGAACACTGGCTATTCTTGCAGAAGACCGGAGTTTAAATCCCAGAATCCACATGGCAGCTAACAACCATCTTTAATTCCAGTTCTAGGGGATCCGAAGCCCTCTTCTGTCCTCCATAAACACTGCATGACACAGGTGCACTTACATACATTCAAGCATAACATTCAAACACAACTTTAAAAAATAAAATTTTAAAGTCACCTCATCATAGTTGGTATCATTCAGATCCTCATCATCATCATCAGCAGCCTGATTTTTCTTCATCTGGTCACCCACAGTCCTCTTGCCTGGTGGAGCATGGCGATCATCCACAGGATCATTTGCATCTCGGGCAGGCCCAATGTCTGATCGAGTGGTAAAGCCAGTGGCACTGGGGGAAACCCAGAGATATTTTTGTGTGACCTTGACCCCTTTTTTTCTTGTTTTTTGAAACAGGGTCTCACTATGTAACCCTGGCTGGCCTGTAACTTGCTATGTAGACTAGGTTGGCTTTGAATTCATAGAGATTTGCCCGCCTCTGCCTTACAAGTGCTGAGATTAAGAGCATGCCCAGCTTCTGTGCTCTCCCTTGAACATCATTTAGTAACATCGCTTCTTTTCAAACTCCTGGGAACCTACAGCAATTCTAATAGCAATGAATTGCACGTTCATATACTATTTGGTCTTCTCTGATTGCTGAACCTTTCGACCTACCCTGAGTAAGTCACAGGCAATTTCTCTTTACCCCAAGGTGTCTCCATTTTTCCTCCACATCACTGTCCTGGCCTTCAGAACTCCCTCCTCGAGTTTAAGCTCAGATTTCCAAATGTCTGTTGAGGATGACTCCCACTTTTAACCAGGCCCAAACTGAGTTTCCTCCTTTATGCATCCAGCAGTTGTTCCAGGATGCTCAGCTGTTAACAGCAGTGCCATAACAAGTACCATGACATCATCTTTGCCTACCTTTGAGTTTTCTCCATCCTATCTGCCCCAAAGTATTACTGATAAACCTCCGAGACCACAACTCCTACCACAGCTGGAAATCCATGTCATCTCTACCTCCGCTCCAACCTTTCCCTACTTCAATCTTTGTGTTGCCAGGTGATTCTTCTCAAAATGTAGCTCAGAAACCTATAGGACCTCTGTCTTGATGACCTCCCAAGCTCCATTCTTCTTGCTGAAAATCCTACTATACCAGACTCTTCTTTTCCTGGTCTCACCGAGCCTTACCTTTTTCTTTTGTATTTTTCTCAAGAGGTTAGGTGAGGTGCTGGAATCAAACCCAGAGACTTGTGGCAGGGTAGACAACTACTCTACCACTGGGCTATACCTCTTTTTTTTTTTTTTGAGACAGTGTCTCCCTTATAGCCCCAGCTAGCCTAGAATTCACTATGTAGACCAGACTGTGCTCAAACTCACAAAAATCTACCTGCCTCTGCCTCCCAAATGCATTAAAGGCATGTGCCACCGTGCCCAGCTCTACTTATCATCCTTTTAAGCTTTTTTTTTTTTTTGAGACAGGGTTTCCCTGCAGCTCCAGTTGGCCTGGAACTCACTATGTAGACCAGGTTGTCCCCCATCTCACAGAGATCCGCCTGACTCTGCCACAAGTCCTGGGATTAAAGGCATCCGGTGCCTTTTTAAACCTTTAAAATATTTATTTATTTAAAATATTTATTTATTAGCCAGGTGTGGCAGAAGCAGGCAGATCTCTTTGAGTTCAAGGCCAGCCTGGTCTACCTAGTGAATTTCGGGCCAGCTGGGACTACTGGGAGACCCTGTCTCAAAATACCAAAATGTATATATCTATACATACATATATATTTTTGAGAGAGAGAGCACATGCATATGCCACAGAGCCCATTTGGAGATCAAAAGACAATTTTGGGGAATCAATTCTTTCCTTCCACTCTGTGGGTTCTGGGGATTGAACTCAGGTTGTCAGGTTTTGCAAGAAGAGCCTTCACCTGCTGAGCCCATCACACCAACCCTCTATTTTCCTTTTTTACCTGTCTACACCAAATTCCGCTTTTTCCTTTACTACTCCCATATCTGACACCCCCAAATCCTGTCTCCTTGTAAACCTGGATAAAATGCTACACTTCTCTGAATGTCTCTGGACTGTGGTTCTTCTTTGTGTGCTTATTTATACAAGCACTAAACCCTTATAGTGCACTTCAAGTCTTCTGAAGATGTATACACCCAGTTTCTAATACCACTACAAAGAGGAGCCTATGTTTCCCTAATCAAATGCATAAAGAAGTAGATGAGAAGTATTCATTTACCCACCACCTTATAGTGGTCATCTGAGTGGCAGGCATGGGCAATCCCTGTCCTAGAGGACTGAGAATTTGAACAGATAGATGGCCTATGGCCCACACGTCTTAGCGGGAAAGGATGCTTACGGCAAGAGATGAGAGGCAACTCCTACTCCACATCAGGGACTCATCTGCTCCTCTCAATCAACCTGCTTAGGGATCATACTTCAGACCCCTGCGTAGTAAAACACGGAGTCAAATCTTCTACTGGCAGTCAGGCCTTATGGCTCCACCTATTCTGACCGCAAAGCCCACTGCGTCCTGCAGGCATTAAGGCACTGTCTAGTACCTTTCGGACTACGTAGCGGTGGACCCTAGACAACTATGATTCTCATCTCGATCCAGAACGAGCTGCTCTTCGGGACACCTGCACCCGCCCAGGGACAACCCTCGGCCCCGGCCCCGGCCTCACCCCCGGCCCAGCCCCGGTACGTAGCCGAGCGGCGCCGGCATGCCCAGGAAAGGCTTCTTCTTCTTGTTCATGGTGGCGGCGTTGGTCGAGGTGCAGAATCCCAGGGAAGCAGATACGCCGCAGGAAGAAGGGCCTGTACTACCTGGAGTCGCGGCTGGAAGAGACGCAGCCCTCGCGTCACAGCGCCCCGGATACAGAGCGCGAGGTCGCGCGAAGCCCCGCCCACCAAAAGTCTCGGGCGGAAGTCAAAGACGCAGCCTTACGAAGCGCTTCCGGCCGCGGCTGCTGCCCGGCTGGCGCACGCGCAAGTGCCTACGTGGGTGCGGGCGCCGAGGTTACGGACTCCGCCGCTCTGTTAGCGGTGAAGCGCAGCCTGAGTCCAGGCCCGTTCCCGAGCGTTCCGGCGTACCCTGGGGCCTGGCGGTAAACCCGCCCAGCCTCAGAAGTCTGGTCCAGCCAGCCTGGCCACTTTCGACCTGCCTGGCTGTGCAGAGGTTTGGGGGTGCTGACCTGTCCGACAGCGAGAGTGCATCAGGTGCAGACTGCTGCCCTGCGCGCTCAGGGTCCAGGTCCCGGGCCCCACTCGGGCTGCAGTCAGTCCCTATCGTACCTTCACCATCCCCTGTTCCTGCAGAGCCACGAACAAGTGAATGTAGCACTCCACAGTGTGTGGGGGCCGGCGTCACAAACTTGGAGTAACTCGTGTGTGCTCAGTGGCTTGGGTGGACGCACACTGTCCTCTGCATACCATTGCATTTCTTCTACGTATCCGTTTGCAGCTCTTCAAGACTCGTTGGTCCCCTAACTTGGGGAAAGCACCAGGCTCTTGGGCAGACCAGGAAAACAACTGATTGCTGCGGCCTGGCTATGCTAGACCCGGCAACTACCCTTTGGTGCCTAACGCCTCTCCCTGGAATCCTGACGCAACCACCTAGTTCTGATTCCCCAGACAGGTTTTTGGGGAGGGTTGGGTCTGTGAACACTGAGCCTTGGGAACTGAACCTGATTCAGGGGCCCACAGAGACGGAGAATGCCGCCCTGGAGTTCTCTACGGAATGGCCAGTAGATGAGGGGATCAGCTGGCCTCTGGGAGGAAGTACTTTAACAAGATAAGGCAGACAGGTGTTTGGGAGGGGTCGAGAAGGTAAAAGGCCCCCAGGTGTAGTTAATTAAGCACCACCACACCAAGGGGACCGTCAGTTCCTCGCTTGCCCACTGCACCTTCTGCCGGTTGCATAGAGACTGGTCCGCGGCGCTGTGCCCAGGTGCGCACAGACGCCTTTTGCCCTGGCGGACACCCTCACACGCAGGCCCGCGCGCCGCCGACACACCTCGGAGCTCCCGGAACGCGCCCGGCGCTCAGGGCTCGGCGGCAGGTGCTTTGCCGCGCAGACTCGCCGGCCGCGGGTATCGGCATTGGCGCGGGGCGGGCTCGGGCGGGGTGGGGACGCGGTGCGCGTTGCGGGCGGACCGCACTGGCCGCCCTGCGCTCCGTGAGGGGCGTGTGTGCAAGCCGCGCACCCGCGGGCTCCATGTTCACCGAACTGAGGTCAAAGCTGAGCCCCCCGCGAGCCCGCGCCGGGGCTGTGCGTACGGGCTTCGGGGAGCGCCCGGATGTGGACGGTGAGCAGGGATGGACTGGGGCTCAGGGATATATTGGGCAAGGGAGAAGGGGTGCTGGGGACCAAGAAGCACTGAGGCTAGACTCAGCGCGTTTCCAGCAGCAGCAACCTCAGGGAATGTCTTAATCTGAGTCCAAGGGCCTTTGTCCGGAGAGGGGCCGGGAGGGCGGCGGCCAATCTTAGGCCTTGGGGATCAGCATGCCTTTGGCTTGGGATGGGAATGATTGGCCGGACCTGTCACCAAGCAGACATCACGCAAAGGTCACTCTTTCCTTCGCGCAGAGAAAACCTTCCCCAAGCCCTGGCGGGGGGAGGACGGGGGGGGCGGACACGGGAGACATAGACCTGATGGGCACCTCCCAACCCCCGTCCCGCTGCCCTGTTTCTATCTAGAATTCTGCCATTGAGGTTGGGAACAACAGACTCTTGTCCCGATGCAGGGAGGAAATAGGCGGGGTCCAGCTGGCCCTGGCAGGTGCGGCTTCAGCTAAGGAGTTAAGACTAGTTTCCCCAGAGGTAAGGTCTTGCTTTAGCCCAGGTCAGGCCCTGGAAGCCCAGAGACCACAATGCCTAGCTCCCCCTGGAAGGCGCTCTCTTAGAATAAATTTTAAAGTAGGTGCCACAGGGAGGACAGGCCACACTCTTCTTAAGCCCACCTTCTTCTGTTGACTTGCATGCACCACATAAAGTCGTTTTTCTGTTCATAGTGTTATGGGTGCTTTCTCTGCACCAAGACCTAGACAAGCCTTGCGGATACAGATGTTGGCCTTCCCAAGACTCATGCCAGTAGTGATTCTAGAAATGACCCTAACACATGTAACAAGTGCAATTGGTGGGAGAAGGTCCCCAGGACGTCTGTGCTGAACAGTCCATGCCCAATGAGCACCCTTATTCACACATGCTATCCTGGCATAGCCCCTGCAGAGGCCACAGAGGAGGGAAATCCAGCTGTGTCTGACTAGTCCCTGTTGTCAGCTTACTGAGTCCAAACTTTGTCAGTGAGTCATAGTAACTACAGAAGGGTAGGGACCTGGTTTCAAACACCAGGCGTGGCTGTTGCAACTAGGCACTTTGGACAGTGATAGCAGGTGGAATCCAAGCTAGACCTTCTCACCACAGAGAGCCTCTTGGGAAAATGGAGCCAGTCTTTCTCCTTAAAGACATATTGTCTGTATGTACACCTTGGTCCTACATGGCATATGGGAGGCTGTGTGCCAACCCAAGATAGGAGCAAAGAAAGTCAGGGCATTCCTGGAGATGGCTCCCCTGGTCTGGCTATGGGTACATGTGGGCTGTCAGTTTGTAAGGGGAAAAGCATGTCCAGCTCATTTCTTTGGGAGAGCTCCTCAAGACCACTCTTGCACATTTTTTTCTGCCTCAGAGACTTAAGATTCCCTCAGAGAAGTAACTCCCCTCATTGGTGGGGAAGTAAGATGTACTTGCCAGGGAGTTGGCTCTGGGGGAGGGGAACCTGCCCCTGACTACTCTGATTAGGGATCCCTGCATACAGCCACTGCCCACTTCAGCTTCTGCCAGACCCTACTGGAGCACACGGTATCAGCTGAGAACATACCCTGCCACCTGCCTCGGACACCAGGCACCAGCCTCACATGGCATGACTCTCGAAGCCAGAGGGCATCCAACAGCAGGCCAATCAAGCTCCTACAACAGCCTGGCTCAGAGACCCCCCAGGTGCCTTCCTACCCACCTGATCTCATCACCTGCCCTCCCTGCTCTATCACCTTCATTCTACTGACCATCCTTCCCTACCTGCAGGCCCGACTATACTCTGATCACTATGGCTTATATCATACAAGTCCCTCACTGGGTGGCCTGACAAGGCCTGTGGTCTTGTGGAGCCAACAGGACGTCTGCAAGTGGCTCAAGAAGCACTGTCCCCACAACTACCTCATCTACGTCGAGGCCTTCTCCCAGCATGCCATCACTGGTATGGTGGGTGATGGGGCAGGGAGGAGAACCAGGGTGCTCAAGAGCCTCCACCTCACCTAGCCTTGTCTCCACTTGGTCCTCCTGAGTCAACCTCCCTTCTATGTTTTTCCTGTCTGTCTCTCTGCCTATCCCAGTCTCTCTGCTCTATCTTCATCAGGTACTTCTCTGATTAGCCTCTGTTTTGTTGAGTTTGTTTTTTGTTTTTTGGCTTTTTGAGACAGGGGGCCTGGAACTCAATGTGTAGACCAGGCTGGCCTTGAATTCACAGAGATCCACCTGCATCTGCCTCCCGAGTGCTGGGATTAAAGGTGTTCACCACTATGCTCCGCTAGCCTGTCTTTTGTCTTACTGTCTGCCTTTCTCCCTCTAACAATCCCTGAACCTCTGCTCTACTTTCCTGGTCTCTGCTTCTTCTCCTTTTTGTTTTTTAATATAAGAGATTCACTGTGTGTCCAGTCTGCCTTGCCTCTGTTTACCTTACTAGAACGACCTTCCTTTCCTCTCCCCAGGCCGGGCTTTGCTTAGGCTGAATGCAGAGAAGCTTCAGCGGATGGGGTTGACACAGGAGGCCCAGAGGCAGGAGGTGCTGCAGCAGGTGCTCCACCTACAGGTGCGGGAGGAGGGAAGGAGCCTGCAGCTGCTCAGCCAAGGTCAGTAATAGGGGCCTAGAGTAGCAGGGATTGGGGAGGAGACTGGGCTAAGGGTACAGGACGAATGATATGACCACAGGAGGGTGGCTGGGTACACTCAGTAAGGACCATCTTGGAGTGTGGCAGAAATCCAACCTTCCCTCACTCCCATCCATCCCACAGCTTCCTTCGGAAACATGTCCTAGCTGCTGCCCAGACTTGGACCCCCAGACCCCAACACTGTGACCAGAGCCCACGGCCAAGGATGAGGCAGAGCTGGCCCTACAGCCCCTTTGGATCCTACAGAATGCCCTACTGGCTAAACAGCCCAGTGAACAGGCAGGGGCAGGACCACCACCTCCAGATGCCTCTGATTGGGCACTCCAGACTCTGCCCTGGGGCTGGGTTGGTGGGTGTTACCTGCTTGTAGCCCCTCCTTCTGGGACCCAAGCCCAGGTTACCCCCCTGGTGCTGCTGGCAGCAAACAGGGCAGTTTCCTGGAGCCAGAATGGGGTTTGAATGACCCCAGACTCCCAGGGAGTCCATTTATTTATGTTCCCTCCACCATGTGACCATCTCCTATCCCCTGAGTTATGAATCTTCCCCTTAAGCCTTCCAGTTCTGTGTATTTTCCAGGCATCTCCAGGTCAGCCACACAGTGGGACAAGCTGCCTTGGTTCCCTTTCAGGTGTATTCTTCCTCTACCCCTCCCAGAGCCCAGCAGGCCCAACCCATTATCCACAGTGATAGTCATCAGCCAAGGTAGCATTGTGTCAAGTGCTTCACTCAATAATTATAAAACATAACCTATCCACTCATGAGAACTTAAGTTGAGAAGGCCCAGGATGCCCAAGTTCCAAAGACAAAATGTGGCATAACACAGATACACAGCCTACCAGATGATGCTCCCAACCTTATCTTTGGGAAAGTCTTGCTTTTAAGCGTCTTCCCTATTCCCTGGCTCTTAGATACCACCTTGGAGAAACAATTATCTGTGACTTTCCCAAGAAAACCTGGATTCACAGGAGAGACTAATGTAGGACTGTTTCCTCCATATGTGCCACCAGACACCTGAACAACCCCTCCCTCCGTGGTTGGGGACTGGAGCTGCCAGGCAGAGGGTCAGTGAGGATGACCCTGGCAGCCCACTCTCACTCCTATGCCTTCTAACTTCCCCAGGGACTCTTAAAATCTCAGGGACAGTTGAGGCTCAGCCTCCAGTCCCCTCTATGTGTCCAGAGCTAGCCTCAGAACTTGAGGTTGCTCATGACAATTCCCAAATGGAATTTGGACAACTGGCCTGGCAACTCCCATCTTGTATGCCCTCAGCATATTGATGGGCTCTCTTGTGTCTGTCTGCCTCTAGTGTTCCCACCTACCTGTGACTTCAGCCAGAAAGTCCATCTTTGCCCCCTTTCTCCCTCCTCTTGTCTTGTCTATCGTATGCTTCTGTCCTGTCTTCCTTGGTTTTCAGTCAACTTTTTATACTCTGACAAAAAAAAAAAAAAAAAATCAGAAATAAATCTGGTTCTCAAGTGCCCCTAGTGCTGGGTCTCTTGAGGAGGGATGGAGGTATCTAGCACAATGCCTGCAGAAGGAACCACTAGGGGGCAGTGATGTTGCATCTGGAAGAGCAACAGGTAAACTCCAGGACCCCAGGGAGAATAAAAGAGCCTGTCAGAGGCTCTGGGGATAGCACCCCAGTGGTGGACACAACACCCCTGACACACTTGGAACAACATCCCAGACACATGGAGTGAGGCAGCCTAGAGCTACTGTAACAAATACTGGATTCCCACAAAAGAAAACTGATTCATGCATGGTCTGTGAGCATAGCTCAGTGATACTGGGCATGGTGAGTGGCCCAGACCCAGATTTGGATCTCCAGCACAGAGAAAGAAAGAAAAATCTGCCCTCTAGGAGTATAGAGGAATCTTTCCTTATCTCTTCCACCTGCTACTGGCTGTCTGCTATTCCTAGGTTCAAGGCCACATCTCCCTATTTCTGTAATCACTCTCTTGTGGCACTCAAATCTCTTCTTTGAATTTAGGGTCCACTTGGGTAATCCAGGTGGATCTCAAGAGCCTCAATCACATCTACAAAGGCTCTTTTTTCCAATTAAGGTTTCTACTACAGGTTCAAGGATTTAACATGGTCATCTGTTGGGGCTCATTATTCAGCAAATCTCTGGCACAAGGCCATGCCCTGACATACATAGCATACACTCTGAGACAAAGCAACCAGAAACAGGAACACAGAGGCATAAGCCACAGGCACTGACATCTCAACACCCAGACATGCCTGAATACACATAAACACCTCCATACTTGGACAGACACAATACCTACAAAAATATATAACATTCGGGGCTGGAGAGATGGCTCAGCGGTTAAGAACACTGGTTGTTCTTGCAGAAAACCTGGGTTCAGAAAGCCTGGCTCCAAATCCCAGCCCCCCCATGGCAGCTGCCTATAACTCCAGTCCAATGGTATCCGACAGCCTCTTCTGACCTCCGCAGGCATTGCATGACACGGGTGCATTTACCTACATGCAGACAATACACGCATACACATAAAAATAAATAAAATTTTAATATATATATATATATAAAACATCCCCGTATGTGCAGATGTAATTACCCAAAAACAAACGCACAATCACCCTCTAACACACAAGACATCGCATACCCATGATTTACACAAGCCTACTATATTACTGAATATCTTGATACCTAGATACATACAGAAAACAGCTTCTCAAATCCTGACACATTTACATATGGACATGCCACAGCCTGGACATACAGTAAGAGTTAGATAAATATCCCATGCACCCTGATATCTAGCCACTTGGATAACATACAGGCAAGCATCAGTCTCACCTAGAATAGGACATGCAGATAAACCATCACATTATGGTGTCCACACATGCATACCACCAGACACACATGGTCAGAAAACAACCTGTGGACATTGGCACATCCCACTTGGTGGATTTACACAAGGAAAGCTGACAACCTTGGATGCGCCTTGTGATGCATGCTAACCCCCACCAACATTTTGTGTTCCACACCCTGGTGGGATGACAAAAGGGCATTATAACTTGGTCTAGAGCAACTCCCTCCTTCTCCTCGTCTCCTGGGGTCATTTGGGTGGGTTGTATATGCTGGCCTGTCTAGCTCAGATTTCCAAGGGAAGGACCACCAGATAACCCTTCTGTAGTGGGGGAGGATAATACCCTGCTTCTGCTTCCAGGGGAGTATTATATGTAGACCTCAGGCAAAGCAGGGCCACCATTCTGTTGAGAAGAGGCCAACACATTTGCTTCTCTGTCCTACCCCAAGCAGAACCTGCTACAAATAACAAGGTAGGCATGGCAGGGGCAGGAAGGGCTCCAGAGATGTACTTTGTAACTTCATTTCCCAACTAGCAACTTCTAGTCCATACCAATTTGAGAAGCCCAAACTGCTTGTGGAATGTAAAAAGAAGCATTAAAAAAAACAACTTAGTTTTAGGCTGGGCACGATGGCATATACCTCTAATCCCAGCACTCAGAAGGCAGAGGCAGGCAGATCTCTATGAGTTTGAGGCCAGCCTGGTCAACATAGTGAGATCCAGACCAGATAGGGTTTCACAGTGAGACCCTGTCTCAAAGAAAGCCAAAAAACTCATGAGTTCAAGGCCAGCCGCATTAAAAAAAACAACTTAGTTTTAGGCTGGGCACGATGGCATATACCTCTAATCCCAGCACTCAGAAGGCAGAGGCAGGCAGATCTCTATGAGTTTGAGGCCAGCCTGGTCAACATAGTGAGATCCAGACCAGATAGGGTTTCACAGTGAGACCCTGTCTCAAAGAAAGCCAAAAAACTCATGAGTTCAAGGCCAGCCTGGGCAATATAGCAAGACCGAGCCTAGTGAGTTTGTACTACAAAGCAAGAGCTTGTCCCAAAAAAAATTCAACATGAACAAACACCAACAAAATATCTGGGCATGGTGATGATGCATCTTTTTTTATTTTTCTGTAAATAAACCCCCCCCCTTTTCTCTGTTAGCAAACCCAATAAACTTTTTTTTTTTTTTTTTTTTTTTTTTTAAAAAAAAGGATGATATTGTGGGCACAAAATAAAAGCCCAGTTTCCTCCTTTTTAATTCCTGAGTGGTGAATTCCTCCCTGGGAAGATGGGTGCTGTGAAAAGGTGAGAGCTTATCTCTTATTAGAGCAACGCTGGGCCTTCTTACCAGTCAGCCTGGCTTCTCCACTATGCCAAGGGGGTGGTGAGTGTGTTTGGGGGGGTATTTTCTCTCAGCTTCATTTATTCCCAAATCCTCTGGGGTAGGGCCCCATAACCCAGAAACCCAAAACTAGCAGCCCAGGCTCTGGCCAAGAGGAGCCCAAGTACTGGTGGCTGGTCCAGGACCACTGTTCACAAAGGTGGGAGAAGTTAACGGCCAGTAATCCCGGCAAAACCTCATGATTTAACAAGTGGCTAGATTGACAGGACCAGCTGGAGAGCGGCTATGGAGGTCCTGGAACAGAAACTCTCGTTCACAGAACCTGCTTCCGCTAGCACAACATGCACTGGGTAGCGTACGGAGCCCCGGACGTGCCTCAGTTTACCCAACTGTTCACAAAGAGACTCCCCCTGTAATCATGTGTGACAGGCCCCTTCGCAGGAGAGGTACAGCCCACCGAGGATACGAGTCTCGGCAGCTACAAGGAGCAAGCGGGGCCCACGGGCCCCCTCCCCGCCGTGGCGGCCGCGGGAATACCGCGAGAGTTCGCCCCCTCCCCCCCGCAGTAAAACTGTCAAAGGTGGGAGGGG